CACCAAAAGCTATGACGCTATGGTTACTGGCATTTGTTCTTAGACCTCATGGGACTATAATTGACATCATTCTCACTCTGATTCCACTTATGATTCTAGCCTGGAATTGACATGAAATTAGAAAAGCACTTTCTCCTTAATTTCTCTATTTTGTTCCTATGGCAAGTTTACATAATCATTGCATTATTGGTATAAATATAATATTAAATCCTTATTTCATAGATTAATACTAGAGATAAGAGTTGCACCATTTAGCCTAAAATTTTAGTACTTCCTAAAATTAATGTGAAGATAATTGAGTATTGATGGAAGTTTATGGGACCAAACTGTTGTTCTATTAATTATTAAGCCTAAAACAGAAAGAACTTTAGTTTTAATGTAAAGAAAAGGATGTTAGAGTATCTAGTGTTACCTAAATGGGAAAATGTAATTTTATTTGGATTTATTGTTACCACCTGAATTCTAAGCTTGTCTGAAAAGGCAAACATGTTATATTATAAATAACTTATTCAGTCTGCACTGTCTTGAAATTGACTGCTCAATGTATTTATGCATTCAATCTCAGAACTTTTTTTGACCATTACAATTATCTATCTATCCCCTTTTCCCCTCTCCCCACAGTTGCAGAGCCTGGCTGTAGAGGTGGTTGAGTCAGGGATTTGGGAAGTAGGGAGAAAAAGGGCACTGCTCCTCGTGTGGGAGGGCCTAAGGACTGGGAGTGCTGGGAGGCTATAGTGTCCATTGAGGCGGGCAATTTGGTGGATAAGGAGGGTCCCTGAGGAACCTGTGAGTTTCCTGATAGGAGCTGCTCGGCTTCAGGGAACCTGCAGCTTCTGCTCTTAAAGAACTCATGTTCTAGTGGGGGAGAACCATGTAAATAATCATGTGCATACAAGATATAGAAAGAGTAGATTGAAGACAATCTGAAGGGAGGACACTGGGAACAGAGTGATGATGGTGGGAGACCAGGAAAGGCAAGGCAAGGCAAATCAACATGAATTTATATACTATGAGCCAGGCTATGTGTGAAGTAGGTACAATTGCAAACCAAAAGATAGTCCCTGCCCTGAAGAAGCTTACATTCTAGTGGAGAAAGACAATACATAAAAAGGAGCTGAAAAGAGGTGACAAGAAGGGAAAGTACTGAGGAAGGGTTATGGTGGTGAAGTCCAAAGAATGAAGCATGTCTGCTCTGGGCCTTCCTCAAAATGGATGTTTCTGGAGGAACTCACCCAATGGAAGAAAGGGACTACAGGAGTGGAGAAAGAAGGCCCCTGAAGCACGGTGGCATGTCTTCCCACAATCCTCTGTATTCGTCACATTTATCGCTTCTTACAGTTCTGCTCTATATATTCCATGACTTTCATTCAGCTCCATAGAATTCTACATCATTCATGCACTACTTTTTGTTTCTCCATTCCCCCATCAATGGGCATATACTTTGTTTTTTGTTTTTCACTACCACAAAAAGTGCTGCTATCAATATTTTTGTGTTTATGGAGCCTTTTGTTTTGTCTTTGGCCTTTTGTCCCAGAGCAGATATGCTTCTTCACTGTGGAATGAACAAACTTTTCACTTTTACTTCCTGAGTTTGCTTCATTTAATCGGGGGAAGGCCTGAATAAGGATTTCTTTTAACAAGGGTATGTGCCTAGAAAATTTCTAGATTAAAAGAGTGGACATTTTAGTCACTCTTCCCAAAATTTCAAGTGCTCCAACTACATGTTAAAAATTTATGGAAGGATTCCCAAAGAATAAAAGGCCATTATGGAATTGTTGTTCAGTCACTTTTTAGTCATGTTTGATTCTTCATGACCCTTTCTGAGATTTTCTTTTTAAGGATACTGGAGTGGTTTGCAATTTCCTCCTCCAGCTCATTTTACAGATGAGGAAACTCAGGCAAACAGAATTAAGTGGCTTGACCAGGGTCACACAGTAAGTGTGTGAGGCTGGATTTGAACTCAGAAAGATGAGTCTTCCTGATTCTAGGCCCAGCTCTCTATCCACTGTATCACCTAGCTGCCCTCCATTGTGGAATATTCACTTGGGAAAAACTGTCTGGAGGGAATTGACTGAGGAAATTGAAGGAAATCTCTCAAGATATCTCTCTAGCCCTAGCTCTGATGCTTTGTCAAGTTATAATGATAACAAAATAGTAGTAGTGGTAGTAGTAGTAGCAGCAGCAGCAGCAGCAGCAAGTATTTCTATAGCACTTTAAGATTTGCAGGTGTTTTCAAACATCTTATTTGATTTGGACCTCAGTTTTCTCATTAACAACAACAGCAATAACACTTAGTTTAGCCTTGCTAAGAACCGTGATTTGTTTGGTGGGGTACTAAGCTCACCAGCAGCCCTGTCTGTGCCTTAGTTGACAGTCCTGTAGTGACATTCACGTCCACTAGAGGGGTTGCCATTAGATTGTAAATAGATGCTCCTGTCCTGTCCCGAGGAGCCAAAGAATGCCAGCCAAAGGGGTAGAGATTGGAGGCCTCGGAGGGAACAGGTGAGTTAGGGTGACAACATCTGGGGCTGCTTTTGCAGAGAACCTGATGTCCATGAAAAACAGTTCCTCACTGTCAACATCTGTGATCTCAAAATGGGCGTGGCAACATCTGTCTATCTTGCTTTCCCATCTGATCTGCTGAAGTGTTATCTGTCTTACCTAATATTTTATTTCGGCACCATGACAAAATAGAGTCACAATTCACTCACTGTGTGACCTTGGATAAGCCACTTTGCTGCTCCGAATCTCAGTTGTTCATCTCTAAAATGGATGTGATGGTACTTGTCCTAATATCTTCACAGGGTTGTTTTGAGGGGAGTGCATTGAAACACTTAACTGCTTCTATACAGTTGGCAGCTAGGCGGCACAGTGGAGAGAGTGCTTAGACTTAGAAAGGCCTGATTTCAAATCCTTCCTGACTATATGATTGGGCAAGTCACCCAGCCTCTCAACCTCAATTTCCTAATCTATAAAATGGGGATAATGACAGTACCTACATCTTCCATCACAGGGTTGTTGTGAGGATTAAAAAAATGACACATGTAAAGTGCTTTGCAAACCTTAAAATGTTCTATAAATGCTTATTATTATTATTTTCCAAAGGATTTCTCTATGAACTTTCGTCAGTCACTGTGTGCATCTGCCAGGACACCTGAACCCATCCAATGCAGGCATCTTGCCATCTGCCCAACTCCTGCATGTACCTTCTTTCACCTCACCTTCCCATCCTGTTCTTGTTCTGGAAATAATACTTAAATCAATATTAGCATTGCTTCTAGGGAAAGCCTGACAATCTGCTGCCCCTTATAAGACTCCACTTCCAATGTCTCTAACTGCCTAGAGCGACACTCTTCTTTCCTTGGCCACCACTTTCTGTGTTGTATCCATCTTTAAAAACAGACACATTAAAGCTGGAGCTATAATGAAGCTCTGAGTTTGTCTAGATATTTTGGAAAGCAATTTGGAACCATGACCAAAAAAGTCACCAAAATGTGCAGAACCTTTAACCCAATGATAAAATTACCAATTATACCCCAAAGGCATCAAAGAAAGAGAAAAAGAACCCACATATACCAAAACATTTATAGAAGCTCCTTTTGGGTTGGCAAAGAAGTACAAACCAAGGTCTTGACCATCTACTGGGGATTAGATGAGCAAATCATGGCATATAAATGAATGTGATGGACTACCATTGGACTTTCAGAACTGATGAAGTGGTTGGCCCCAGAGAAACCTGGGAAAACCTGCATGAACTAATGCGCAGTGAGGTGAGCCAAACCAGAGCAATTTATACAATAACGGCATTGTCAAGAAAAAACAACTTTGAAAAACTGAAGCGCTCTGAGCAATACCATGAACCACAATAGCATAAACCGTAATTCTAGAAAACTGATGCTAAGGGTATGCTCTACCCCGCCCCCCCACCCTGACAGAAAGGTGATAGACCCCAGATACAAAATGACACACGTTTTCAGATACAGCCAATGTAACCATTTGTTGTGCTTGACCATGAATATTTATTACTATAGTTTTGTTTTTCTTTTTTTACAATCACAGGTGGGGTGAGAAGAGAAGAAGAATATGGTTAGGGCAGCAAAAAGAAAAAAAAAGCAAAAGAGAGAGTGTCATGGAAGGATCTTTTTAAAAATGTAGTGAAGAGAGCAGAAGGAAGGGTAGGGTCATAAGAACAATGACAAAGAAGCAAGACAGCTTTGAACATTATGTCTTGAATTTATTACCCATTTAAAAGTGAGGCAATAGAGATGTGCAGTTTTGTATGCATAGTATACTGTGTATGTGGACATTTCCCTTTTGTTTGCTGTTTGTTAGGATCAGAACTTTAAAAAAAATAGTAAACAAATCAAAATTCAAATAGGGGAGATAATATGTAATGCAAGATATATACAGAATGAATAGAAGGTAATCTAAGAGGAAATGGCACTGGTGGGGGATGGAAGGAGAACTAGGAAAAGTCTCCTGTAGAAGGTAGAACTTGCACTCACTTCTAAAAGAAGTCAGGGAAGCTAGGAGGTGGAGAGTGGAAGGGAGAGCATTCCAGGCATGGCAGACAGCCAGATAGGCAGCCAGGAGTTAGTTTGAAGTATGAGCAGTATTTAACTCCATAAAAAGAAGCTTGTTACATTGAAGGCAATCATCCTGCATATTCAAAGGCTGACCCCAGTGGACACTATCTCTAGTGGTCATGCTAAAAGTAGAGGAGGAAGGCTGGGCTTGGTGGTACTTCTTAGATTCTCTGCTAGGTGTGGGTTTAGGGAAGGCTGAGGCTGGTGAATCACTTGAGCTCGGGAATTCTGAACTGCAGTAACACTAAAGCCAATCAGACTTCTGAACTACTTTTGACTTCTGAGACCAGGAGGCTACCAAGATGCTGAAGAAGGGATAAACTGGCCCAGGTTGGAAATGGAGCAAGTCAAGGCTTCTGCGCATATCAGCAGTGGGGCTGGGACCATGAATAGCTATTGCACTTCTAGCCTGGATGAGATAGGGACACCCTGGTCTCAAAATAAGATATAATACAAGTGGAGTGCACAACTCAAGACTGACATAGACTGAGTTAATAATGAGGCAAGTGTTGAAATCTAGTTGGGGTGCTTTTCCATTGATGCCAATCACAAGGCATGGCATTGAAATTAAGGTGCCTCACTGCTTTGTGGGAATTCTCATTCATATCTTCTACGTGAAGATAAAAAGGAATCTCATTCTGTTGAAGATATTTCATATATGCCTCCATCATCTTCTTTAGCATGCCCCTGCCTTGATATTCTAGGAGGGTATAGGCCATCCTCAGTTCACATGTTGGTTCCATCACACTCCAGGTTATGGGATTCCCCTTAGGATCCAGCAGACAATACGCAGGAAAGTTCTGGATACAGCTTTTGATATATCTCAGGCTCTTCTCATTCTTTCCAAATTTCCAGTTGTTGTTCACCAGCTCAGAATGGGAGACATCCAGGAAGGTAGGTTTGAAATTTTTAACTTCACTGCAAAAGAAAATAATTTAAAAAAAAGAGAAATATTACTTGCATTAGCCACTTATTTCCCAAACACATCATGCATTTTCCCACTTCTGGGCCTTCTCCACATTAGTACTCTCTGACTCTCATGTTCCCCTCTCTTTTCCATCCAGGCATGTCATCATCCACTGACTTCCTACCATTTTTTTTAAGTCTCAATTTGAATGGCATCTCCTTTGTAAAGCCTTCCCTGGTCCCAGTGTGATCTAGTGGAAAGTGGACTGATTTTGTAATGAGAAGACATGGAGCAAAATCTTAACTCTCTCACTTACTGGTTGTGTGACTTTGGTCAAGTGACTCTTTGGGTCTTTTTTGTTTTTTCCATATGCAAAACTAAGGGGCCATACTAAATGGCCCCTAAGGTGTCAACCTTCCAGCTATAGATCCAGGATCCTTCAGCTGAAATTATTTTCCTTACCTGATCTCATTGTTCTTTGCTTTTTTGTTATTCACTTACTGTACTTTATCCTAGTATACTCATTGGTGCAGAATCTTATTGGGTTGTAAGTTTCCTTAAGGAAATAGCCATTTCTTGTTTATTTTTGCATGTCTTATGGTGACCAGCATGATAACCGTACACAGTATTTATTGAATGCCTAGTCAAACTTTCTTTTCAACATGAATCACAACTTAAACATTCCTCAAGAGTTGCTTTGAAAATGACATCAGTAAGTGCCTACTATGTGTCAGACATTGTCGTTGGTATGGAGATACGGAGGAAAATAATCTCTGCTCTCAAGAGGCTTAAGAAACACCTCTGCCCACATGAATTTGGCAGTCTCTGAGGGACAGCCTTTTGAAGCTGTGGCTATGAATGAACAAGAAGATGTGACTCCACATTGGCTGAGAGAACACTGAATCTACTGTCTAGCTGAATGAAGAGAGAAGGGATTTCTTCAGATAATTGGAAGACTTCAAAAGAGAGACAGGTAGAAGGAAGTGAATAACTGGAGTTTGAAAAGCCTCAGACAATTTAGATGAAATTGCTCATTCCCCTACCATGTCTTCTGCAATCGTAGATTGTACTAATACAGTGACCACTCATGGTGAAATGTGAGGTCATTCTTTTTCCTGGTCTGGGAACCAGGGCATTTTTATGTTTAGATGGTATACACACACACGTGCGCGCGCACACACACACACACACACACACACACACACACACACACACACACACTTACATTCTATTAAAACGATTAACAGTATTCAGCCATAAATTGACCGAGACAATTTTGTGGGATTCAACTATTTGCCATGTATCTAGTGATGGCCCAGTCCAAAATTAGGTGGACTGATCTGAGGCACACTGCCTTTTGCCAGTCTTATTCTTAGCCTCTCAAGATGGTTGGACTTTGCAGAGCTTGAGTTCCCCATGGCCACCTAGGCCTACATCCATGCCACAAGGGGACATGAGATGAAGACCTTAGTGGGTGACCAGGGGTACTTGATTTCTTGTAAATCTCCTCCAGATGATGAAATTTAACCCTATAATTATCAACACTCCAGGATATGATATTAGAACAGGAGGCTATACATGTTCCTACCTCCCAAACTCTCCAATATTTGGGATAGTTTCTTCATAGGATCTGCCAAACATTCTCTTATTGGAAGACTTTAATTGCAGAACAGCTTCTGTTGCATAGAGAAACCTCTTGGAGTAATCTATTTGTAGTGACTTTGAAGCTGCAACACTCTGTATCTTTTCGTTCAAACCCTGTTGGCAACCTGCGAAGAGAGGAAGGCAACAAAGACCTTGCTTTAGTTGTCTCTGCATCTTCTGAAAGAGCACAGCTTAATGTAAATAGTATTGCATTTGTAATCAAAGACTGCGGGTTAGAATCCTGGCTCTATTATTTCCTTGCAAAGTGATTATGGGTAAATCCCTTCCTCTCTCTGGGCTTCAGTTTCCCCCTCTGTAAACCAAATAGGTTGGACTACATGGTCTTTAAGACCCTCATTAGCCCTAAATCCATGATCCTTTTAACCCCTCTGATTCTCTCTGGTTCTAAATCCATTACAAAACAAGTCTGGACACTGGGACACAGGGCACTCCTACACACTGGAGGAATCGCAGTTGCCTCAACTTTTTTCGTCCTCCTTAATTCAATATAAGCTAAGATACAAAGTCCATTTAGTGTAGATTATACTTTCTCTCACATTCACTCCATCTTTACCTTTTGGCAGTTGACCATCCTTTCCAGGCCTTGACTCTTTGTCACTTCTTTAATGATTTCTTTTTCTCTATTTTCTTATCCTTCTCTCCTCCCCCAAGCTAGAAATGTTTTCTGTCTGGTTATTTGCACATAGTAGGTGCTTAACATATTTATTGGTTGATAAGTGAGTTCCTCTTGCAAGAACTATATTCCAGAAGTTCCCAGTCCAGCCATGCTCACTTGTTTGTTTCTCTCCTGGCTCTGTTCTTGACTCTCCGCATTTCTACACCTGGCCTCCAGATGGATCCCTTCTCTTTTCCTTTCCCTCTCCTTTTTTGCTTGTATTTGTGTCTTCAGAGCTTAGCACAGTGACCTACACATAATAAGTGTTTAATAAATACTTTCTGACTTGCTCATATTTCTCATAGATATTTGTCTATACCCTTCTTGTGCACTTAGAATCATAAACTAAAAGAATGTTTGATTTGGGAAGGGACCTTCTATAGAGTCTATGCAATCTAGTCATATCATTTTGAAAAAAGGAGGAAATGAAGACCTATAGAAGTTAAATGACTTGGCCAAGTTTAAAAGACAATTTGAGTGCCAAAGTCAGAATCTGAACTTGGTCAGAGAAGTAGGAAGAAAACTAGGGGAAATCAGTTTCGTGGAAGCCAAGGTAAGAGAAGAGTTAAGAGTGGTCAGCCGAAAGTTGCGGATGCCAAGTAGGATGCAGACTGAAAACAGGACATCAGATCTAGTAATTAAGAGATCGTTGGCAGCTTTGGTGAGAGTGGTTGGGTCAGAAGCCTGATTGTGAGTGGTTAAAGAACGGGATGTAAGGAAATGGAACAAAAGACATAGCTGACTCTATGAGTTTGGTTACAAAAGGGATGAGATATAGGGCATTAGACTGAAGAAGTTCAGGGTCACTCAAAATATTTTTATGGGTGGAAGAGACCTGTGCAGATCTGTGAAGGTTTGAAAAGGAGCCATTGGACAAACAACCTGAAAACAGAATAAAGAATAAAAATGATTGATGGGGCAAATTCTGAGAGTAGAAGGAAAAAGAAGGCACCAAGTGCACAAGTAGAAGGGTGGATCTTGGTGAGGAAAAGGACTCTCTCTTCCTTGGAGACTGGAATAAAAGATGAAAGAAGAATGGGTGATGTAAAGGGATCTTGAGGTACAAAGGAGGGGAGAAGAGAAAGCCCGTAGTTGGCATGAAAAATAGTAACAATGGTGTATTCTTAGAGATCATCTACTCCATGCCCTTAATTTTAAATGATACCAAAGTCTAGAAATAAGGAGTGTCATTTGGGCTTATACAGTGAGGCAATGACAAAGCCATGACTAGGGTCCAGGTAAGACATTATGTTATATTTCTATCAGAACTCTTTTTCAAGAAAGTTACAAGGTAGTTGAATTTTCATTAAACATGTAGTAAAGAAATCTTTGTTTGAATCCCAGCTTTGCCACTTCCAGGTGTGTGACCTTGGGGAAACCATTTCTTGTCTTTGGTGAGAGGAGTCCTAGTCCTAAAATAGACATAATAATACCTGTACTCACTAACTCACTAGCATCCTAATTTTTGCTTCAGTTACTTGTCCATCTGTCTTATCTCCTTGCAAGACTGCAAGGTCCTTGAGGATAGGGACCATGCCATTCTCATCTTTATATACTAAATACTTACAATGGCACCTTTCATAGAGTTGTTGCTTGATAAATATTACCTGATTTTCAAAAATTCCACTTGCTTCTAAGCAGTTACCTTGGATAGTGAGAATCTGATCCCAGTTGATGACCTTATTGGATTCCAGTAACTCTGGCAATCTCTCAGGAGTTTTGGTAAAGATGTGGTAAGTGTTTGTGTAATGATCCATGTCATCAGTCATCTCCTGCACAGGAAAGGTTAAAGAAAGTGGGGTATCATTGTCAAAGTCTGTTTCCAAAGAGAAAACTTCATAGCAGATTGATTTGGTCAAAGGGTCAAAGCCAAGGGGCAGTTGGAAAGGGCTTGAGTCTCAAGAGGTAGAGACATAAATTGGGTGGGTAACTTTTCTACTGATAGATCATGATACTTCCCTATTTTAATAGATGGTCTTCTTGAATTAGTGTGATTGAAAAAAAATCATCCTGTAGTGGTCAGCTTTCTGATGTTGGGCTGGTCCTCAGATGGCACTGTAGGGTTAATACTCAGAGCCTTTCGAGCTTGGTAGGACCTCCCTGAGTCTGGGCTTCTCAGGAACATCTTTTAAGAACTCAGGCTCATATTAATACCACCAAGAAACATCAGAATAGATATTTAGTTGTAGATCATAAAATTTATTGACATATAGATTAGGTGGTAGCTAGGCAGCATGGTAGAGGGCAGTAGACTTAGAGTCAAGAAGAGTTGACTTCAAATCCCACCTCAGACCTTTATTAGCTAGGTGACCCAGGGAAAGACATTGAACCTTTCTCAGCCTAATTTCCCTCATGTGTGAAATGGGCATAATAATAACACCTATCTCATAGGGCTGTTGTAGCACCAAATGAGATAACTTACAGAACACTTTGCAAACCTTAAAGCTCCAGATAAATACTAGCTGTCATCATCATCATCGTTGTCATCATCATCATCATCATCATCATCATCATCATCATCATCATCATCATTTATATTAAAATTGTATCTTGCTCTGGTCCCCCTAATTCATTATTGTTATATTTGTCATCTTAGGCAGGTATTTGGCTAAAAACCAAGCATCATCTGATACAGACAGTGTTTTCGTCATTGCTTCTTATGGAAAAGAGGAGCTTCAGAAAAAAGAGGTAGATTTTGGAAGTGAACAACTGGTTAAGAAAATAGTATTTGAGAAAAGGACTTGTATTTCTGACCTATTGATTAAAATATAAGATTGATGGACTCTAGAATAGGACAGAATACTCTTAGTAAGGGTATATGTGTGTGTACATATGTCTGTATGTGTATTTATGTAATTGTGTTTACATACATATGGATACACAGACATATATGAGTATGCATGCATACATATAAAAAGTGTATCTATCTATACACACATAGGTGTGTGTATATATATATATATATATATATACATATATATATATGTGTGTATATATATGTACCCAACATATTATAGACTGTGTATTTATGTATTTACACATATACACAGATGTGCCAACAATGCATGTATATATGTGCATGCATATTATATTTGTGTGCATATATACACACATGTGTATATAAATTTGTATAGATACAATCTCATAAACATATACGTATGCATATACTTATAGGTATATACACATGCATAACTATATGCATGTGTATAGCTCATATACATATATACAATGTAATACCTGTGTGTATATTTACTTGGAATCTTGATAATCAGATCAAGGAGTCTTTCTATCCCAAGATTCTTTTACATAATCTCCATGATCAGGTGTCTTTAAATTAAGAAGGGAGGGAGAGGTGTAAAATTAGCCACATTTATCTGATATTGTGGAAATTAGCAGGTATAGCATAGGAATAATAGTGAAAGGGGGCAGGAAATGCATGAAGGAAACAAGGAATAAAGCCTGAGGATATTGGTGTCTAAAAACAAATATCAGAGAGTCATTGGGCTGAACTATCTATGACACAAAATGTTGTCTTCTAGCACTAATATTTTTCTAGTGATTCTTTATGACTAAGAATTAGAGAGTATTGCCAAAGAATCAAAATTGCATGTGACCCAAAAGGCAATGGAGGGACAGCTGGATGTGAAAAGCATTTTGTAGTGGCTTACCAGTGATGGATTTATGCACAAGAAATGGCATAATGCAGATGTTTGTGTATGGATATATATGTATAGATAGGTATATGTGTGTATATATATATATATATACATATGTGTGTATATCTATGTAGGTGTATATCCTAGACTTATGATTTCAATGGGATATCTATATCTAATCTACACCTGTATCCTAGACCTCCGGTTTCAAAAGAATAGGAAACTACTGATGAGGAAATTCATTTTATCAATGCAGATTGGCAACTATTTCACAATTTTTCACCTTAAAGATACGCCTAGGGTTTTGGACATTTAAATGACATGACTTGGGTCAAACAGCCAGTACATGTCAGAGATTCTAACAGTATTTGGACTCAGATTTTCCTGACTCCACGAACAATCCTCTATGCATTATGCTACATATATTCTTTCTCATTTTTGTTGGTTAATCATTTCAGTCATGTCCAATTCTTCATGACCCCATTTGGGGTTTTCTTGGCAAAGGTACCAGAGTGGTTTGCCATTTATTTGTCCAGTTCATTTTACAGATGAGGAAACTGAGGCAAAAAGAGTGAAGTGATTTGCTCAGGGTCACACAGCTAGTAAGTGTCTGAGGCCAGATTTGAACTTGGGAATTTCTGACTCCAGGCCCAGCACTCTATCCACGGAGCCACCTAGCTACCCTGCTTTCTTATTAAAAATATCTAATAAATGTATCATCAGAAAAAAAGAGATGATTTGGACATGTGGTGAAAAGAAGGGATAATGGATGGAAAGTCCAAATGTTGTACTGACAATCATGAGGTGTTAAAGCATTTAGAGAAAGCTAGTAGTGTCTTAAAAGGGTCTTTTTAAAAAGACATCTTTTCTAGATAACTGATGGGACATCATAGACAATGACTGACACTATTGGAGGGAGGATTCATGAAGCTGAGATTTTGCATCCCTTGAAGTATCAAAGAAGCATTGGTGATTTAGCGCTTCCAGGGTTTGGGGCTTCCTTTGTGCAGGATTTGGTTCGGCCAACGCTTAGAGTTAATGCGACGTAAGAGTGGGGTCTAAAGCGCCCCACCCTGTGTTAGCAATGACACTGTAGCTGCCTGATATCATAAGTGTGAAAAGTCTTTCCAACTAAGTAACATTGCTTGAGAATTGTGTTCAGACAGGCTGAGGAAATTTGACTGCACTTCGAAGTAATTACCAAGCTGGCTAGAAATGGATTGACTCAGAGGGGTGGGGCAAGGACGGCTTTCCAGCACACCTGTGAGGAGCAACCATGTGCGGGAAGGAGAAGGAGGGAGGTCTTTTCTTAGTTTCGGCCAGGTCTCCTCCCTACTCCTATCCGTTGGCCAGAAAATCTTGGCAGTTTTGAGGGGTCTGGAGAATGTTGGACTTCCCAACTTTTCGTAATAGAAATCCCACATTCCTTTTTCCAGCACATACTAGTCAATGCTTAGAAAACTGAATGGAGTAGTTAAAAAGAGTATTTGGAATCAGAGGGCTCAAGTCTGACTGCTGGTTGTTCCATTTACTACCATGTGAATTTGCCCAAGTCACTGCCTCTCTATGGGTCTCAGCTCCCCCATCTGTAAAATGAAAGGGCTACATCAGATGATCTCTGAGGTTCCTTGCCCACCATGTAACAGTTGGATAATAAAAGCTTGTCAATTGCTTGATCTTACCTCTTTCCGAGGCCGGGTAATGATGGTCTTATACTCTGGCCAGGAGTCCGCTAGAACCTCCAAGTTGAAAGGGTTTCCCCGATTGATGTGGAAAATGGAGCCGTACACCTACAGTAAGAAGACAGAGGCAGGTAAGGCTGGAGAGGCTTCATCATTTCATCAAAGTTGTCAAAGCAAAATGGAAGTGGGACATGTGGATGAGGAAAATGATAGCACCATTCCAAAGGGCAATTGTGGCTTCAGTGACAAATGGAGACACTGATGCTTGTATTTATTCATATTCTGCTAACATCCCAGAAAATAACATTTTTCCTTTTCTCTAACTGCTTCACATCATCCTACATGTGCTACAGATTTGTTAGTAAGAGCCTGGAATTTCTTCATGGGATGAGGATGTCTTATCTACATGATGTCTGCATCTGTGATGTAGGAGAATATTGGTAATAACAATAGCTTCCATTTCTATACTCTTCAGTCTTCAATTAACCCCAAAATGCTTATTTCTTGGAAAGATGATGCAGATAGATGCTAAGCTGGGCTCAGGATTGAAGAGGAGTAAGAGACTAGGTTGTGTTGTATTTGGGAAATTTCACAGCATGTTAAGTGGTGCTAAGCTGCTCCCTGATACATAAACTCATCTCTTTATTTGTTGCTATATTTATGTGGCTCTAATGTGTCTCCTGGACTTCAGTTCTTCATTGCCAGCTACTGCTGGCAATTACCACTTGAATATCCCATCAACATGGGCCAAACAAAACTGAACTTTCACCCTAATCCCAGTCCCTTTCCAAACTTCACTATTTTTGTAAAGGGTACCACCAGCTTCCTTGTTCCCAGTTTTATAACATGACTTATCTTCTCTCTTCCACACCACCCATATCCAGTCAATTGTAGGTTCTATCCATTCTACCCGTAGATTCTATTCATTTCTCCAACCACAGTCTACTATTTTCATTCATCTATCACGTGGACTATTGTAGTAGGCTCCAAACTGGTCTCCCTGCTGTTGGCTTCACTCTTTCCAAGCCATCCTCCATATAGATGCTAAAATCATCAGGCTACTTCACTCCCCTGTCCAGTTATTTTAAGTGGCTCCCCAGTGAAGATACAATCCCAACTACTCAGCCTGGCATTTGCAGACTCCTACAATATTGCTCCACATGGCTGTTCATCATTATTTCTGCTAGTTAGGAGACCTTAAAGACACTTAAACTCCCAGTAATCCAGGGAACCCTATAAAACAATAAGTTACAGACCCAAACCGCATTGGCAGAAGACATTTCCACATTGGGAATTCCCTACACCAATGAAATCACAGGTATGGACCCCTAAAACTATGTTCCAGACAATTTGGATTATTTGCTGTTCCTTAAATTAGGACTTCATTTTTCATCTTCTGTACATTTGCATATGTCGCCCTCCATTTGTTGAATGACCTCCTTTTTCTCCTAAGCTTCTGAGAATCTTTGTCTCCCTTTAGAGATTATTTTAAATGTTTACTCCTCCATGCCATCTTTAGTAATCCTCTAAACTGTGCTCTGTCTGTCTCTCTTTCTCTATCTCTATCTCTTTGTGTCTCTATCAGCTGTCTCTCTCCCTCCCAAATTTACTTCATGTTTACTTCTCTGTACCCCACAAGTACAATACATGTTGCATTTTCTTAGCAGAATGCAAACTTCTGGAAAGCTAGGATTGTTTCATTTTTGTCTTTGTAACATCAGAGCCTAGCCGAGCATCTGATATGCAGTAGGTTTTTAAATAAATGTTTGTTGAATTGAAAAAAAAATAACATTTTCTTCTAATGATGCTATATGGCTATAAATTGAGCATTATAAAAAATTGTGGGTGAACTGAAAGGCACTAGAAAGATCGGCAATTATTATAAATAAGCAAATAAGCAGCAGCACATTTCCAATGATACCATGAATGCAAAAGGAAACCTTTAAGAAATAGAAGATTGGAAAAGGAAGTGGGTCACTTAGGTATTGGAGGCCACTAGATGGTGCAATAGATTGTGTTGGGCTTTGAGTCAGGATATCCTGAGCTTAAATCCTTCCTCAGACATTAAGTGTATCATCCTGGATAAGCACTATAATTCCTATCTGCCTCAGTTTCCTCAATTTTAAAATGAAAATTATAATAAAATCGACATTTACAGGATTCTTGTGAAGATCAGATAGATCGCATGTGTAAAGTGCTTTGCCAAAGCTCTATTCATGCTTTCATTAGTATGAGTGAAGGATAACAGGAGGAAAACCCCAGTCCTTCAAATGCCCTTGAAATGTTAAAAGGTCTTTTAGCACATTGAGTAAATCGTCTCTGGAGGTTTTATGAGATGACACACACAAGAATTCAGGGGGAAAGCAGCCATGAGTGAATGCATCTGCACTGTCAGAGGGGAGGATAGAAGAGTGCTAGTGTGAGGAGATGAAAAGGGATGGGACAGAACAAAGAAAAGGGCAAAATGTCACTTGGCAGAAGAGGAAACTGAGGCTCAGAGATAGCAAGTGGGTCTTCCTGCTGTCAAGACTGGTTACTCTAGGCCCACATTTCTCTACTTCCTGCTTGGTTGCAGAGTCTCTCCTTATAGCACAAGGAAATCTTCAGGGATGGCCACATCTCCTTTTGTCTCTGGCAGCTTCCACCCCGACTCACCTTCAGGGACTCCGGGATGCTTTTGGCCAGCGATTGGTGTAGGGTCTGTAGCATCTGGGCCTCTCGCAACAGAAGCATTTTTGTGGTACTGCCCACCTTTTGCCCTTCAAACCAAAACAATGGGAATAAAAGGAGGTAAGGGACCAGCGGGATTTCTCAAGAAGTTGAGAAAGTAGAAAGTAAATGATGAGTGTCACGTGACCTACAGCATGAAGCTGACTTAGTCAATTTCAGTCTGACTTGACTTGGGGGCCAAGGAACTAAATTAGGTCCTACCATATTTGGTTACTTGGGTACCCAGGGAAGGGAAATGCACCTTTTCAATGATTTCCCTTAGGATGCCCTTTAAAATCATGGAAGTCTGAGGGTTGCCATATCTAACCCTAAGAGCTGCCTTTGACAGTGTGGGGAGTGAGGTCACCAGAGGGAGTGAAATCCAAGGTCACTTCCTCTCTCAGTAGTAGACAAAACCCCAGGAGCAAAAATTGCCCGATAAGAAGGGATATTACCTGAAAGCAGTCTGTATCACCATCATCAAGATGGTGGCTTTTGAGAGGGAGGAGGAATTGACCTTAATCATATTAATGCTTCACATTTTACAAAAGGCTTTAGGAAGCAGTACTGAAAAATGGATGCTTCTCATGTAAGATGTCTATATCCACATGGGCATGGGACCTCTAATCATATAGATAGGTGCCTCTAGAGGAGATATTGATAGATATATTTGGAAGCTTGCCCATCTTTCTCCAAGGGAGATTATGATTCCAGCCTGAAGTTGAACAAGAGAAGGGACCAGGTTCACGAGGCTGGCCATTCTTTTCTCCTTAGAGAGAGAGAGTGCTAGACTACTATTAAATTTATCTGTACTCTAATATTTCTGGTCGGTGAACATGATTTTTCAGATTCAAAAGCAACAAAGCCACAGCTGTGTCTTCTTTAAAGGGGAGGGGGTAATTCCATCAAGCTTGACTCCTTCCCACCATTTAACCCAAGGGTAGAGAACCTGTGGCCTTGAGACCACATATGGCCTTCTAGGTCCTTGAGTGTGGTCATTTGATTGAGTCCAAGTTTTACAGAACAAATCCTTTTATTAAGAGGATTTGTTCTGTGATGTTTGGATTTAGTCAAAGGGTCATACTTGAGGGCCTAGAGGGCCACACGTGGCCTTGATGCTACAGGTTCCCCACTCCTGAAACCCAATAAAACATACTGGTATCTTCCCATCATTTAAGCCTGTAGGCTCCTTAATGTCAGGAATTACATCATTTTTTGCTTTTGTATTCCCAATGTCCAATATGTGCTCAATAGTAAACACTTGTTAAATGCTTTTCCATTTCTTTCCAGTGTACATAGTAGATACCTTATATATGTTTGTGGATGACTGAACTTCATTACAACTGTGTCAAGTACCCAGGGCATGTATTGTCAATTCAATTTTTAAAAACTTTCTATTATTTATTTATTGTTTACATTTTTAAATTTTATTTTATTTTTGAGTTATGGAATAAAACAAGCATTTTCATAGCATAGTATAATAAAACAATGATTGCACATGAAACTGCGAATCTATTATGTACAACTTGCTATTCCTTTAATATATAATAATGTCATCATGTAAATTTCTTTTTTGCAGAAAAAGAGGAAAGCAAGACTTAGTGGACAGAACTCAGCCAGTTTCTGGCCAAGCCAGCACTAGAGCCCAGGTCTTTTGACTCCAAGGCCAGTGCCCTTTTTCTATACTAGATACGCAATATTATCCATCCCCTATGCTTTACCCTGGGAGTTCTGGACTGCCAGCGGGGATGCTTCTCACCAAAGGTTATTGATGTATTCCCTGAAATGACTGATTTGATATGTGATGGAATGAACAAACAATGAATAAAAAGGCATTTATTAAAAGTTTACCACATAAGCACTAGAGATAAAATCACACGAGTGATACCATCTCTGACTTCAAGAACCTTACGTTCTGATCAGGGAGACAACACATGTAGAGGAATGGTGATCCAGGAAAGGAATTTCGGTCTATGGAATCATAGCAATAATGAGTGGAGTCACAGGGCAGTTCATGAACATGTCCTTTCCAGAAATAATGATGGTGTTGATTTGGTTACAGTTCTCAGATCAAAAGGTGGAAAGCAGGGTGGTAGTGAAGGGTATGTGGCGGGGAGATGTCTGTGAAACATATTTGGATCAGCAGGGCTGGCCCAGATATGAGGAGCTATCACCCATCAGGACAGCGTGGACTTGGAAGGTGTTTTCAATGAATTCCAGCACAGAAGCTTTGGGTATAAGCTATTGTGAGCACTACTAAAGGACTGCTCAACCCAACTGTTACGATGTTTGTCTGGATGATGTCATTGAGGGCAAGCCTGCGCGGCCTGGCACAGCTGATGCTGTCATGGGATGTGACACAGGATCTGTGACCACATATCGAGATGCACGCTGTAAGATTCTGTATGTACCTTGGGGGGAGCCATCTAAGCAATCACCGTGCCATAGTGGGCTGGGCTATGGGCCTCAGAGACAGTGTGGTGCTGGGGAAAGGTCAGGGCTCCTGAAATCAGGTAATGTAGGTGTCAATCCTACCCCTGACACCAGCTTTGTGACTTCAAACAAGTCACGTAACTTCTTGGGACTGGGCTGGGTTGGGTGTGAGGTGCCTTCTGCCTTTAAGCCTGTGATCCTGGGATTCAGAGTTCAAATCTCAGCCCTGCCCTTCCGTACCCACCTGACCTTGGATGAGGGGCTTCATCTCTTTAGGTCTCAGATTTCTCAGCTATCAAATGAAGGAATTGGGATAGATAATTGCTTTGGCCCCTTTTGGTTCTGAGCTTGCACGAGCATTACTCATAAATTTCGTATTAGCCCCAAATATAGATCATCTCCAAATATAGACCACAGTCCTAAAATGTGAGATCTCTGAAAGGAAGAATGATTTTATATATATATATATATCTTTAAATTCCTTCCAGAGAGGCAGGAATAGATAGGCACGGACCAGTCTTGTGGCTGGGATTCATGTCTTGCCTCTGACACATGCTGGCTATGTGACACTGTGTGAAAGCCACTTAGACTTTCAGTGCCCCAGGGAACTCTATAAAACTGTAAGTTACCGACTTATTCTTCAGTGATAGAAGAATTCTACTACAAATTCCCCACACCAATGAAATCACAGGTTTGGACAAAAAAGCCCTGTATATACTCTGAAAAACATTATGCAAAATTCATATATATATGTATATATATATGCATATACACACATATGCATATGTATGTATGTATATGCATATGTAGATAAATATATACATATACATATATATGTAAATTTTATGAGCAATGCTCATATGAGTTTGGAGCCAAAAGGAGCCAAAAGGATTATCTAGGGGTGGAGAACCTATGGGTCGAGGACACATGTGGCCCTCTAGGTCCTCAACTGTGGCCCTTTGACTTGAATCCAAACTTCATGGAACAAATCCACTTAATAAAAGGATTTGTTCTGTAAAACTTGGACTCAGTCAAAAGGCTGCCCCCAAGGACCTAGAAGGTCACATGTGGTCTTGAGGCCACAGGCTCCCCTCCTCAGAGACCAATCCTTGCATTTCATGGTTGGAGAATCAGAGGTTAAGTGCCTTGGCTAAGCTTACATAGGTAGTAAATAGCAGAGTTCGCAGATTTGAACTTAGGTGGACTATGGTTTTAAATCATAGGATCGCTGAGGTAGTGCTGGGATGCACCTCAGAGGTCATCTGGTGCAACCTTCTTGTTTCTTAGATAAGAGAATTGAAGCCCAGAGTTAAGTTCTGTTACTAAGGTGAAATAAGTAGGGAGTGGTAGAGCTCAGTAACTATATAAATATTAATAAATAAGTGAATTAATATATATGCACACATATACATATATTAAATATTATATATATATACATATATACATATATATATGCATATATATATATATATACACACACACACACACACACACACACACACACACACACATTTGCCATATTGGGGGGAGTATTTCAGGTAAAGATTTTCTTAGGAGTGGGATTGACGTGCTGGACCTCTATTTTTTTAGGTTGATGCTGGAATGAAAGCAGGCACTGAGAGTTCATTGAATAGTCACCAAAGGAGATTTATTTATCACTAACATATAAAGGACATCCAGTAAGGATACAGGAGCATTTAGATGAGGTAGAAGAGGCTCTTTTTTTTTTTTATCATTGTTGGAAATATGGTCAGCAGGGAAGGTGGTGATCTGCAGAGTCTTGGGATTTCTGACTGGTCTGAAGGCACCACCAGGCCCTAAAGGCTTCCAGTAGGTGGGCCTTTTTATGCCCTTAGGTGAGCAAGAATCTATGACAATATATTCCAGAAAACTGCCTCAAGGGAGGTACAGCTTAAGCCTTGCCACATTCTTGGGTCATTCAGGTCTTGGAGAAAGTTTTGTCAACTTTTAGGGAAATATTAAACTAACTCATGTTATAGTGATTGGGGGAGAGAAGAGCGGGTAAAAAGAGAAACCTTAATAGATATTGATCTTATCACAGATGTCAAATTCATTTTTATTGCCACCACTCCCACAGTCCTCACTCCTCTCATTACTGCTTTTTTTTTTTTAACAAGGGTATAATTATAGACCACACTAACATCGTATTAAAAAAAAAAGATTTGGTGGACAAATGAGTGTCATCTATTTAGGCCAATATAGTTACTTTTTGATTTGTTATTTTGGGGGACAAGAGCACTGTCATGTTCTATTAAAGACAGGAAAATCCAGGACCAAAGATGACAGAGTTACTCCAAAGAAACAAGATCAGAATGTACTCTCTCAAGGATCCACCGTACATACATGAGCTCCACATTGCAGGGAATTACTTTAAAAAAAGGACAATTGAACTGTTGAACTCACCTAGAAAATGGAGAAATTGAAGATTGAGGTGACAACAACTGCCTTCCTCCTGGTTCCCTAGGTTGGCTGGGCAGAGCCTGACCCTTGCTGCAGCTGCCCTTTGGCCAAGGCCACTCTCAACCAATCTTTAACCAAATTAACCACGTTCTGTTTCTTATACTAAGTAGGGTTATTTTAAATAGAGGTTGGGAGGTGGGGAGTAGGAAGCACATGATCTCTGATCCTAGTTATTCTACTTAAAAGCAGCCCTTGTATGTCTCAGGAAAACATGTAATCATTAATTTCTGAGGACCTCACTGACGCTTTGGTTCCTCATTTGGGTTTTATCTGAAATTCCTTTATCCACGTATAGATAGGATGTCATAAGCAGGGCAGTGATGTCAGAAGAACTGAGCGTAGCCTTGGTATGATATTTGCAATGCTGTTTGACCTTAGACCAGTCAATTTCCATCTTTGAGCCTCAGTGTCCTCATCTGTTAAATGGGGGAAAGGCTTCTTATCTGCTTTAAAAAAGTTGTTATGAGGGATTAATAAACTAATCAACCAACTAGTATTCATTAAATTCCTACTATGTACCAGGCACTAAGCGAGGCAATGGGGATAAAGATAAAATTAACATTGATAATACTAGCTACCACTTATATGGTACTTAAGATTTGTAAAGCATTTTACAAATATTTACCTTCACAAGGACAAATAATGATAATAAAGATCCTTAATAATAATAATAATTTGTTGTTGCATTGTTTCAGTCATGACAACTCTTTGTGACCCCATTGGGGGTTTTCTTGGCTAAGATACTGGAGTAGTTTGTCATTTCCTTCTCCAGCACTTTTTATAGATGGAGAACTGAGGCAAACAGGATTAAGTGACTTGCCCAGGGTCACATACCTAGTAAGTATCTGAAGCCAGATTTGAACTTAGATCCTCCTGACTACAGAGCTGGTTCTCTAACCACTGTGCAACCTAGCTGCCTAATAATAATAATAATAATAATAATAATAATTAGCATGTATACACATTTTAAGGTTTCCAAAGTATTGTACATATATCAAATCCCTACTCTCAAGGAGTCTACACTCTAATGAAGGAAACAGGTACATATCAGAATATATGTGGCATAAATATAAAGTTAATAAGTACAAATATCTGCAAAATAGTTGACTACAAGGTAACACAGAAAGGAAGACACTAGCAGTTGAAAGAATCAGGACAAAGCATCAGGCAGAAGACGATACCTGAGCTGCATTTTGAAGGAAGTAAAGGAGTCTACAAAATGGAGGTAAGTAGAGAGTATATTCAGGTATGTAATGAGAAATGTTTAACAACTGGTTCTTTGGGAAAAAAATATATTTATAACACACTTTTAAGTTAAATCTGTTTTATTAAAGCTTTCTCCATCATTTTTAAGGCTAGACAACCAATAAAACAATAAATCAAGCTCTGATTGGTAGCTGCCAATTTCCAATGTAAATACTCTCTTGCACTGAAAATTTAATAATTGGACTTTATGAATGGGTAGGAGCTGTTCCAGCACGTTCTTGACAGCCCTGGAGAATCACCAGTGCAGAGACCCCGAGTTGGAAGATGGAGTATCAGATGGCAAGAACAGAGAGGAGGTCACTTTAGAGATGTCACAGAGTGTGAAAAGGGGAGGTATGTCTAATGAGATTGAAAACATAGACTGGAATCAGATTCCATGGGGTAGCTAGGTGGTGCAGTGGATAGAGTGCCAGGCCTGGAATCAGGAAGAGTCATCTTCCTGAGTTCAAATCTAGCCTCACACCTACTAGCTGTGTGACCTTGGACAAGTCCCTTAACCCTGTTTATCTCAGTTTCCTCATCTGTCAAATGAGCTGGAGAAGAAAATGGCAAACCACTCCAGTATCTCTGCCAAGAAAACTCAGACACAACTGAAAAACAACAGTATAATAGGTTCCATAGGGCTTGAAAAGGTAAACAGAAGAGTTTATAGTTTATCCTAGAGGAGATAGGAAATCACTGGAGTTGACTGAGTAGAGGAGTCACATGGTCAGATCTATTCTTAAGGAAAATTGTTTTGGCAACCGCATGTTGGATGAACTGAAATGGACAAAGACTTGAGACTGGTGTGGGTGCGGGGTGGATCTATTAAAGGGTCATTACAATGACCTAGGTGTTGAGGACCTGAACTGAAGGGGGTTGCTTTGTGAGTGGAGAAAAGACGTTGGAGGCAAGGGATTCTGGGTAAGTATAAAAGTGAGATTTGTCAGTTTACCAGTTTTGTGAGGTGAGGGAGCATGATTACTTCCTTTAACCCATGACTGCTGCACATAACCTTCCCTTCAGTTAAGAATAGGCAAACAACACGTGGAAGGTGACCTTTATCTTCACAATTCCTTGACACCGTTTTGTTTAAGCTTTGGGATTTCATTATGTGTATGTGTGTGTGGGGTCATATGTATGTTTTATGTGTAGGGTTGTATGTATGTGTTGTGTGTGGTTATATGTATTGTGTGTGTGGGTGTGGGAGTTGTATGTGTGTGTTGTGAGCTGTATGTATGTGTTGTATGTGGTTATATGTATTGTGTGTGTGGGTGTGGGAGTTGTATGTGTGTGTTGAGTGTGTATGTGTTTTGTGAAAATACAATAGACCAAAAGAGCCCATGGCACCAAGGAGTTTCTACTTTTTCAAGTTGCGATTTGGCTGCTGAAAGTTTTCCACTTAAAATGAAGGAATCAGTGAACTAAGAGGGATCTCAAACTCGTTCACCTTTTCTTGTAAAACTCAGATTAGTGATAAAATGACAACACATTTGCTGTCATTCCCACAGCATAAGGTAAGTACAGCCCTAGAAGACTGGTGCAATAGATGGAGAAATGCTTACTATTCTGACCCGTGCTGTCCCCTCATTCCACTTCCAAATCCTTCCCAATAGGCTTTCAGACAGATTTTTCTAGACATCAAAGTGTAATGTGATGACGCAGATCAAAGTGGTCTTAGAGCAAAATGTTGGTTTGTTTGTAAGAACTTTAGAACTATCAAGGCCTTTGGAACCTAGAATATTAAATGTGACCTTGGGCTCTTCTGAGACCCTTACAATCTGGTTTCTGATCTTCTCATTCCACCAAAACTACTCTCTTCAAAGTTACCGGTGATTTCTTAGTTGCCATTGGGCCTTTTCTTAGTTTTCATTCTCACCAACCTCTGTGTAGCCTTTGACACAGTAGATCACCCTTTCCTCCTTGATCCTCTCTTCTCTCTAGGTTTTTGGGACCCTCCGTCTCCTGGTTTTCTTCCTCCCTCTCTGACCAATCCTTCTCGGTCTCCTTTTCTGTTTCCTCACAGATCACGCCCTCAAACCAGAGGTGTCACTCAAAATGTCGTCCTGTATGCTCTTCTATTCTCCCCTCTATACTACTTTATTTGGTCATCTCATCAGCTTCCATCTATTTAATTACTATGTCTATGCTGGTGATTCTCAAATCTACCTTTCCTATCTTAACTTCTCTTTTTATCTCCATTCTTGCATCTCTAACTGCTTTTTAGACACCTCAAACTGCATGTCCAGTAAATAACAGCATAAACATGTCCAAAACAGAATTCATCTTTCTTGCAAACCCTCCAGCCCTCCTGCCTTCCTTATTACTGTAGAGGGCAGGCAAGACCAGCCTCCCAGTACTGCAGACTTGTGACCTAGCAGTCATCTGGAATTCCTCGCTATATCTCCCTGCTTCTTCCACTGCTCTCCCACACACCATATCCCATCTGTTGCCAAGGCCTATTGATTTCTCCTTTGCAATATCTCTCAAATACACCCCCTTCTCTCCTTTGACGCTGCCACCTCTCTGGTACAGCTCCTTGTCACCTCACACTTGCACTATTATAATAGCTATTAGTGGGTCTACTTGTCTTAGGTCTCTTCTCACTCCAATCCATCTCCATTTTAACTACTAAAGTGATTTTCCTAAATCTCAGGTCCAACCATGTCACCTTCCTACTCAATAAACTCTACTGTTTCCCAGTCACCTCCAGGGTCAAACATGAAAACCTCTGTTTGGCATTCAAAGCCCTTCACAGCTTAGCCCCCTCTTGCTTTTCCAGTTTTTGTACGTGATTCTTTGACCCATGACACTGGCCTTGCTGTTTCATGGAGAGGACACTCCATTTCTCAGCTATGGGCATTTTCTCCATCTGTTCCCCCTGCTCAGAATTCTTTCCTTCTTCATCTCTGTCTACTGGCTTCCCTGCCTTCTTTGAATCTCAGCTAAAATCTCGTCTTGTGTAGGAAGTCTTTCCCAACCCCTCAGTTCTAGTGTCTTCCCTCTGTTAATTATTTCTTTCTGATAGCTTATTTGCACATATTTGTCTTCCCATTAGAGTCTGAGCCCCTGCAGTCAGGGACTATTTTTCTTTTTTTGCCTCTTTTTATATTCCCAGTATTTACCCTAGTGCCTGGATCATACATGTTTGTTGATTGATTGAATGTGAGACCTCATAGGGGCTTCAGAATACAAAACACAAAAGATGGTCAGAACTGAAAGGGATCTTTGCCTGTGAGAAGCACTAAATGCCTACCCATTTAGGCAGGAATACTGGTTTTGAAAACCTGCCTCAGGTGATTCACTTAACCTATCTATGTCTCAATTTTCTCATCTGTAAAATGAAGGAGTTGAATTTAAGTGTCTCTAAGGTCCCTTCTAGCTACAAATCTATGGACCTGTGAACATAGAATATCAGAATTTAAAGGCACCTTACAACAAAATCATCTTCCTGAGTTCAAATCTAGCCTCAGACACTTACGAGCTGTGACTCTGGGCAAGTCATTTAACTCTGTTTACCTCAGTTTCCTCATCTGTCAAATGTGCAGCAGAAAGAAATGGCAAATCTCTCCAGATTCTTTACCAAGAAAATCCCAAATGTGGTCATGAAGAGTTGGACATGACTGAAGCAATTGAGTAACAAAAAAAGAACTTGGAGGGCCATGGAATATAGAATTTTAAAGTTCAGTGGGGCCTTTGACATTGTTTAGTCCAACCTCCTGATTTTTGTATTCAGTCTTGATGACACCCCGGTGATGAATAACTACTGTGATTCCCCAGTCACTTGTGACCAGTGTCATCAGTGACTTCACAGCTATGTTTGAAGTCACATTGGTGCCTTTTCAGAATAAAAGGCAAATA